CAGTAACCTCTCGTCTCTGCCTCTCTCCCGGCAGTACAAGCAGGTGGAGCAGTACATGTCCTTCCACAAGCTCCCCGCCGACATGCGCCAGCGCATCCACGACTACTACGAGCACCGCTACCAGGGCAAGATGTTCGACGAGGAGAGCATCCTGGGCGAGCTGAGCGAGCCCCTGCGTGAGGTAACGAGCAGCACCAGGCTCATTGGGGGTTCAAGGGGGCCAAGACTCCCCTCAGCTCAGCATGCGGAGGCTAAGCCGGGGGAGGGGGAGGAGACGGAGCAGGACGATAGAGCCTGATTCTAGCAGCAGCTGCCCTGGAGGGATGGGCGTCTGTCATTCCCCGGCCTCTGACTGCCCACAATCAGAGCCGAGCCCTCCGGGATTTCAGCCACCCCAGGCCGGTCGCTGGGGGCAGTGCCAGCCTGCGTCGAGTAACCCTGGCAGGGCAGGCGGCTGAGGGGTCAGGGCTGGTGTCCCGGGAAATGGGCCGGAAGCCTCTGCTCTGCAGCGCCAGAGCGCTTGGTGGGGGGGCAGTCTCCGGGGACGCGGGGAGGTTTTCCTGCCAAGGGCGAGTCCTGCGTTCCGTGGGTCTGTGGTGAGCGCCAGCCTGGGCTATGAGCCACTCCGCTGCTAGTCCCTGCGCTGCCTGGTTCAGAGTGACCTGGGGAAACGCTCCTCTCTGAGTCCATCCGAGCAGGGGCCTGGGTCCGAGGCTCATCCCCCCTTAGCCTGCTCCCGCTTACAGACCTGGCAGGGGCTGGAGGCTGCTGCCTTCCCAGTCCCTCCCTTCCCCCTCCGCAGGAGCCCGTGTGATGGAGCATCCCTGTGAGGTGGAGGGGCCGTTAGGCGCTGCCCAGGGCCGTGCGGTGCCGGACCAGCCCTTTGCAGGGAAGGAGTCAACCGAGGGTTTTTCCTCCTGCTGGTATTACAGCGACACCTGGGAAAGCCAGGGCGCATGGAAGGAGACGGGTGCTGGTGGCAGAGGCTGTGCGCTCCCTCAGCCCCCCGTGTGATGGAGCATCCCTGTGAGGTGGAGGGGCCGTTAGGCGCTGCCCAGGGCCGTGCGGTGCCGGACCAGCCCTTTGCAGGGAAGGAGTCAACCGAGGGTTTTTCCTCCTGCTGGTATTACAGCGACACCTGGGAAAGCCAGGGCGCATGGAAGGAGACGGGTGCTGGTGGCAGAGGCTGTGCGCTCCCTCAGCCCCCCG